TTGTATTGAGTGGACACTCCAAGAGGTACGTATACATTACTGAGTTATATGAAATCTGAACTAGTTGAGTCATGTCCAGTTGAGCTTTTTTAACGCTGTACAACAATAGATATACAACTGTTCTAGGAGAGGTTGTAGGAATAAGGATAAAAGTGCTGGCGACAATCATGAAAGGTTATTTGGGTATACAGTAATCAGTGAATTCATAGGTCGAAGAAATAAGTGAATTCATCAAGAAGGCGATGGATCGTCCTTAGTGTGGCGTATTTTCAGATTTCCCTGAAATCCTGAGGTCAAAGAACCATGACATAAAAAAAAAAAAACTTCCCACAATGAATTTCGGGGTTGTCGCGTGCACTTTTACACTCTCCTCCAACAACCTTCCTCGAAACAGGTGTTCACAGAACATAACCTACCGGCGGATTGACGGATTGGAACTAACCAAAGAGGAACGACTTACACTGCTTGTGTCTCGCAGCTAATGAAATCGTGAAGAATTGTCATAGTACCGTAGTACTGTACAGTAGCTTGGTTGTGGGTGGTGGTTTGTTTTCAAGCGCGAGATTCAGCGCGGCGAATGCTCGGTCGCCATATTGGACGGGTGGAGGATCTGAATCGAGTGACAAAGCGAAGGGGGACTTGGAAGTAGAGTAAAATGGTTTCTCCCCTTCCCCCTCCCTATCCCTTTGTCACTCGTCCTATATCTTCTATCCGTGCAATATGGCGACAGGATATTCGCCGCCTGAATCTCGCGCTTGAAGTAACAAACTACCGCCTGCAAGCAGGCTACTGTACAGTACTACGGTACTATGACAATTCTTCAAATTTAAACGCTTCGGTCGAAATATCTCTTCGTCGGCTCACGTTTCGACTGACAGTCGCTCAATCATATTTGCACTGTAACGCAGTGATCGTATGTTTTCAGGGTTTTCTCCCGCTTACATCTGATATCAAACCTCTATCAGTCTGCTGCCTCGAAATGGTATACCCCAGAAAGCATGTTATGTGAACACAACTGTTTTTTTACTGGTAGTAATTGAAGTAATATGAGGCGGGGAACTCCACGAGTTTTTTTTTTTTTTTTTTTTTTTAACCCCAGAAAAGCACAGAATTAGTCTCGCCTGCAAAAGTGTTACTGACCGATCTAGCCGCTATTGTTTACATTAGATAATTGAATTTATGCAATCAGTCAACAAACTTTAACCGTTCTCGCGGTTCTTCTCCACATCAGAACAAAAACAATCGAAGCAATCCACAATGTTTTGTTTGTACTTGAACTCTCCATTTCGCACCACAGTCCTGGTTAGAAAGAACTGAAAACGATCTTTACTTTAACAAGACTTTGCATGTTGAAAAGAAAAATTAATTTCCCAGCACTGAGCCTCAGCAGTAAATTGATTCAGGCGAACGCGGTTCAGTCGCCCACCTCATCACTCTTTCATGATACATCTTTTAACCTGTGTGGCTCACAGACATTTTGATTAAAACCGAAATTGGTTTCACACAATTGAAACGAGTTAGACTAGATTTCAAGACAAATCTGACCAGGGGAGAAAATAATTTTGAAACAGTTGTTTTATTAGCTAGTAAGGCTTAAAACATTCATGGTGTCTTCTTGGCTTGAGATTTGAGAATTTTAAAAGTGTGTCTCCTGTCACTGTACCAGGATGTACCCCATGAATTTGATATGCTTGTCTCCATTATCAGTCGAGTGTGCTGCTACATTTCCGCTCGTGTCGGAGACTTCTTTGTATCCTCCTGTGCCAAAGTTAATTTTAGAATCAGGGGTTACGCAATCTTTTTCGTTATTGCCATGGAAACCAATCCTTGCTCTGCGACTACCCCTTGTTTTGCGACTACCCCTAGCATTAAACCCTTCCTTGTTGCGAAACAATCAGGGCCTTCCAAGTGTTGCGACTCATGGTTGTTTTTCGGTATTTTCCATCAGCGAGCAGTGAGTACAATGCGTTGGTCTGCCTTTTCATGACAAGGAACTTTTTCGGGTGGCCGATATTCATACCGAGAAGCTAAACCAAGTTAAACGGAGGAAGAAACGGAAACATGCTGTAGATTGGTGGGTTTCGTCCGACAGATGCGACACGATTGAAAAGAAAAAGCCCAAGAAGAATCGGGTTACAAAACGCATGAGAGTCAGAAAGAAAGAAAACGAAAAAGCGCAGGAAAGTACGGAAAGGCACTGAACGTCTACTTAAGGGAAGAGCCCTAGAACAAGACGTCATTTTCACTGCCCTTGTAAGGATGGATGAGAACGACAGTCGAGTTCCTGTCCTTTTTTCCCTTGACCTCGAGCTGTGCTGCCTCGTTTGCTGCCTTTAAAGGCAAAGTTTTAGAAGCCTGTGGTCTCTCATGTCGTACAAATGTTCAATTTTTCTATCTTCACAATGATCTTAAAGTCCAATCGTGTGAAACCACATGGGTGGCATTTATGCATTTCTTAAAGGGACGCACAGATTATACTGTTTCGTTGGAGTTGGGAACTGTGTGAAGCAAAGTTAGTGCTTCCATTCAGTGGAAAGAGCCAGGCAAAAACATTCTAGCAGCCACGTTGTCGTCAAGGTCTCCTCGTGAATCACAAAATCTAAGCAATTTAGTGTTGAAAAGGATAGTTGACAAACAGTGGAGCAGTGTGTACATATATGGACTTTCAAAAAGGTCAAGGGAAGAAGCAATGCGAGAGCTGGTAACTGAGCACCTGATGGAGAGCCAGTATAAAAATTGCCCCATTTTTCATACTTCCAAAGTTGCTGTCTCGGCATGCCTAGAAGAGCTGCCAGATCAACTCAAGAAAGTTTTGACAGCCTGTGAACTGAGAAAGTTTTTTGACAAGAGAGCGAAAGTGAGAAAAGTGTATGGATCAGCAGACTTGCTTCTAAATCCGTTGTATGTACAGTACCTAATTTGTGCAACAGTTGCGTCACTTGGTCACTTCACTGACATCCTGATTAAAGGAGATAACTTATGGCAAAACACCAAAAGTTCTCACGTGGATGACCCAGTCCGATCACGATACAGAGGTATTTTGGGAATAAATATTTTTCATTGCACATTTTTAATATAGTAAAATTAAAATAGTCATGAAGAACAATTATTACCAGTTAAAATGTAAGCCCACAAGAATCCATTTCTTTTTTTAATGCATACACTTTTGTGAAATATATTTGATACTTGATAAAGGCAAGTCTGAAATTAGTTTATAAAAATGCAAGAAAATTCTTGAACATGTAGCATACAGAATTTTGGTTATTTTATTTGGTATTATTATCTACTGATTTTATTTATTTGTATCTAGTTCAAGGGAATTTGCTTTTATCAAGAAATTCATGTATCTGACCAACAATAAAAAATGCATGACTCCAGCTATAAAAAAAGGCAAAAGTGGGAAAGCCCATGGTTTTGTAGAGGTGACTGAAACCAGGTATAATGCTCATTTTAGCTATAAATATGCATTATTCTTTAAAGACTCAGATTAGAGCACACGTTTATTTTTTGCATTGGAATTATATATAGCTTTTTAATGGTAAACATGATCATAAAATTGCAACCTTGAACATTTGTTATACTTTCTTTTTTTATAAAACCATATCATTTTTTATACATTTGGTGCCTGTCTGTAGCACAAGTATGTAAAATATATACATCGTTCATCAGAACGCATGACCTAATTACTAGTTCACTGCGCATGCTCTACCATCTGAAATATTGATTACTACATTTCATAAAGTTTTCATTTCCAAGGTACAAGAATTACTCCATTCAACTTCAATAAAGAAGTGCTTAAAGATCTTTCAACTATGGGAGAATTGCACACAACGTTTCCTTTTTTTTTTCGAAGATACTGTATTACTCATTAAAATGAATGAACTATTGCAAATGCGCAATCCAACTAACAAGCTGGGCATGGGGTTGGTTCGATTTCAGTCCACGTGGCGAGAAATTGTCGAGGGAATGGGATTGGTATCAAAACGAATTAGGTCCTCTGCCCCGATTATGCTGCTAACTTCAGAGAGAGAACATTTGTTTCCTCACTGCCAGAACTGACAACAGCAGCGGAAAGGTTGGAAAGTCTTATCACAGATACTAGGCAGTACACAGGTGCTGTTTCGCTTGACATTAGTCCTGGTCACTGGCTTCCTGAACAGCTAAAGACTTTTACAAGACTATTATCAATGATGTAGATTATCTGTACGATTGCTTCAACCATATTGGGGAGGACGATAGTCTTGACCTAGTGAAAGTGAAAACTCTTGGGACGCGCATGCTTGAAGGGTTGTTTGGCCACATAACAGAAAAAAATTCAAAGGAACAATCCAACCTTTTGGGAATTTTCCAAGCGTGTTGCAACTGAAGCCTTGCACTTCATTCTTCCCGTGGTCACATCAGAAGCAGATCACAGCCAAAGTGTTAGTGTCAGAAGAACGAGGGATGAAGTAGCTTCCACGTACACATAGACAACCGAAGATCATGACAACGACAAAAATCATCAAAGGCAATGTGGGCGATATTTCAAAAACGCCACGAGCATGGTTTCTCCACTGGAAACCTGAGGACGATGTTAATGAACATTCAAGAAGGAAAGGAAGACGAGGCTTTGACGGTTGGAAGGCAAATTTACGTTGGGAGAATGAATTGTTGCCATGGGTATGTGGAGAAACTTGGAAACCATGGAACTGTCACTGTCGAACAAAACGCACATTTGAGAGCCATTCACATGGTTGCAAAGTCCAGACCGATGAAATCCCTGAGAAATTTCCGGAAGAGGAAATACGGAACCCCACCAACCATTATTGGTCAACATGCAACAAGACGTGAATTAGGCATTGTACCGATGCGAGATTCAATTTTCGTCGGTAGCGCAGGGCAACCGGAAAGTGAAAATT